TTTTCATTTTGCCTTTTGCTCTTTGCCGGCGAATAATTTAATTGTTTTGATATTTCCACAAAACTGGGAAAATCGTATACATATGTCTCCGTATCGTTGTGTTTCAATCAAGCCCAGCCATTGTTCAATGTCAGTGGGGAAAATACCATTTTGTTTCCAATGCAACTTAGTTTTCTGCGTAAATTGTTGTCCTTAGTATACCCTTTCAGGGTATTTTCATTTTAGTCAAAAGCTTGTAACAGTATGAAGGAGCCATTTCCGACCCTATAATTCTTATATATTTTTGATCAGCATCAACAGAGAAATCTTTCTAGGCATCTTTCTCCGAAAAAAAATTTGTTTAATTTTTTCAAAATTTTAATAGGGGTTACTCGTTAAAATTTAAAAAATTGATAAAAATTTGAATTTTTTTTAATTTTAAACTGAGTATGCATATTTGTTAACCCAATAAAAACTAACATAGGAAAGCTTTCCGAATTGAATTTAATGCTTTTTTGGCTTATTTATGAGATTTTAAAACTTTGATTTGTCGAAAAAATTATCATATAAAACACTTGATAAATATTGATTAAAAGAATGCGAAAGATTGAAGCTTACTTATAATTGATTTTCGATCCGATACTATAATTCAATTGCAAATTGCTAGAGTACATAAAATTCGACTTTTCGAAGTAAATTTCCTTTCATTTCCTTTTTAGACATAAAGCGTTTATACAGTGAGGGTTAAAAAGAAAAACTTCTTAAAAAATACGTATTCCATATAATTATGTATACCTATTGTAATGTATAGCTTTCTAGCTCATTTTGTAAACCGATGTTATTATTTGTAATATTATTATAAGGCTTATAATCATGTATAATTTTTGTAGACCTAATATTTTGACCCTTGCTGTTTGAAATATCTCCGTTTGAAAGCATTTCGTTATCTGGCTTTGTGTTTGCCTTTCAAATGCCAATTGTTGTTGGCATTGCAATTAAGCATCCGAAACATGAACAGCAGCCGACACTAGGAAACAAAATAGTTGAGGCAACACAAAAATAAATATTTGTAACATTTCTTAGCGAGGAGGTTGAAAAGCCGGCCTTAAAATGAGGTTAAAAAAGTAAAATTTGCAGAATGTTTGCGATGTATCCCTCACACAAAGAAATACACTTAAGCACCGGAAGTGACATTTCGGAATGCCACACGGAGTCTGGGGGAATTTTAAAGAAAAGAAAATAAAGAGGAAAAAAGGGTCTCTCAACAAAAGGGAAAAAGAAAAACACATATGCTTTCTTGAGTGTGACCAAAATCACATTCGGTTCGCTTGCTTAACAGGTAAAAAGGGTTCAAGCAAATAGAGAGGATTATATTTTCCCCAAGTATCCCAAGAAATTGATTCGCTGAGCAAATAAAATATATACCACGCTGGACACTTCACTGGACACTTTCCATTTAAAGCCAAGTTCGGGTCATAAAATGCTTTCTTTCGCCCTTTTCCATTGTGCTGCTACTTCCCCTCTTTTTTTTATGATTTGTCTGTCCTGGCCATAAAGATTGCCAAGCAATTGAATCCATTGGCCACGAGCCTCTGTCCGCTGGTTTCATAATCAAATACATAACTTTATTTATGCTTCAGTCTTGTCCTATCCTTTCGCCTTTCGGCCACCATCGAAAAAGTTTCCACCAAATTTGCTTACATTGGCGAAACAATAAAATTCCATTGTCAGAAGGGGATGCCAGAGGACCTAGCCGGATGCTATTTTGTTAAGTGCGCGAATGTTGGCGCATAAATAAAAATATAATTGAGCTCCTGCTGCGCCATCCCGTTCTCGTCCCAGTTCTCGTTTTCCATCTGACCCTTATCTGGCAGAGATCACCATGCTGGCCACATGGCCTGAGGCAACTGCCCACTGATGATGAGGATTCTCATTGGCACTGAGCAAAAAGATTGCTCAAAAGTTTTAAAAAATTAAGCAATCCATTGGCTTCGAGATTTTGTATAGAATTTTTGAGAAGGTCTGAAAAAATTATATTTATACCTTTGCAGGGTTTTATAGTTTTATTCAGAAGCTTATAGCTCTCGAAGAAGACATTTCCGACCTTATAATCCATATATATTCTTGATCAGCATCAACAGGCGGATCTATCTAGGCTTGTAGGAAAGAAAAAAATTTTTTGACAATTTTTTCCACATTTTATGAGGGGTTAAGTGTCAAAAATTGGGAAAAATTTGAATTTTTTAACATAGTTAATTGAGTATGCAGATTTCATAATCCAATAAAAACTAACATAGGAAAGCTTTCCGAATTAAAATTAGTGCCTTTTTGACGTAGTTATGAGAATTTTAAACTTTGATTGGTCGAAAAAATTTTCATATAAAAACATCAATAAATATCGATTTAAAGAATGCGAATATTTTAAGGTTCACGGGTATATAAACGTTGTTTTTTAAAAGTAAGTGTCCTTTCTCCAAGTGTACTTGCCTCTTCCCTCAGCTATATTGATTTTTGGCCCAGTTTAAATAAATTAGCGGTCTTTAATTGGAAAAGGCGGATGGGGCGATTCACTCAAGCAATGCACAAATTGGACCTAAACTTGACTTAATTGATTAGCTTCGGCTAAGAGTTTCCTTCGCTCTCGCCCCAGTTGTCATTGCATTTAATTGCATTGGCAAAAGGAGAGTTTCGGGCATCCAACAACAATTAAAATGTGCCATCGCACCTGGACGAACTTTTCTGGGAGGTAGGCAGGCAATTGAGAACCAAACACTTGTTGGTGGCTCTGCTGCTGATGCCTCGTTTAATTGAATTAATTTAAAATTGCCTAGGAACATTTTCTCTGCTGAGCTGGGCATTAATTTTGTAAAAGTTCAGCTCTCTCCCGCTCTCTGTTTGCCAGTCATTTAAAATTTTAATTGCATTTATTGCCAACTATTCAGCAGTTTGATTTCACGGCATTTGCAGGCGATGTCATGCGCGGTATTTAGGTCATAATTGGGATAAACAGGATGATCCCATTAAAATGTGTTTTGAAAGTGAGCTGGGATTTGAATTTTAAATTGGAAATTTATCAGAGTTTACTTTAAACAAGTATTTAATTTAATGTGTATTGCATTTTGGTCAAGTCACCTTTTTCTAATCTTCTCAAGGTCTAATCAGTGCCCGGAATGGAAGTGAATTTTCGTCTCTTTTTTCCCTTGGCCAAAAAAAACAAAGGTAACAAGCGCAAATACTACTCACAACATCAATCACTTGGCCACGCACAGACATACACACAAAAATGCCATGGCACACAGATCGCAATTAATTTACCCAAGTCAGTGCCAGCCTTTCGATTGCAGGAAGTCAGCCTGTGTGTGCATTTGTCCTTCTCCTGTTGCAGCACCAGCTGCCAAGTGCAACTGAATCAGAATCAGAATCTGAATCTGAATCGGAAACTGCAACTGCAACATCTCTGCCAGCAGATACTTTCCATTTCCACGCAGTCGAGCACTCAGCTCCATTGGCAAGAGCTGTCTCTGCCGTGTTTGCTTGCATGTCAAATTCTCATTTCATTGAAATCGGCAAATATTGACTAAGAACTTCGATGCAATCAACGCTGCCTGCTGCCTGCTGCCGGCGACTGTGACAAATGGGCGTGGCATGTCGACATTCCGGAGTCAAATCGATGGAAGCTATTTGCTTGGCAATGAAAGTGAAACTGAGAGAGCGAATGGAAAGTGAAAGTTGCCATTAAGGCTTGCAGATGGAACTATATATATAACTAAAAAATATTTTAAAGCTTTGAATTTATATAAGAAAAACTATAAATTTACCACAAATAATGTTTAGTTCCTTTTTATTCACAAGCTATTAAGTTGAATTATTAACGTTTTCCTCGATTAGTTAATCTACAAGATGTATCCAAGGCCTAGATAACTACCAGTATAATTTATATTTTAAAGCTAATATCCAACTTTTTAAACTTGTAAAAAAATATATAAAATAGGGAGCTTATTTGCCAGGACAACGGAGGCAAAGGTACTTAGTTATTAAAACATTGCCGCAAATTGCTACGCAACTTTTGCGTCAATAAACTAAACGCCCAAAAGCGACAGTCGACGGCCACTCAACCGAATCCTGGCTAAGGATAAGGATAATCAGCCCCGCTCAGACATCCTTTGAAGCAGCAGCAGCAGCAGCAGCGGCAGCGGCAGCAGCCAGGTGAAGGCAACACCTGGGGAGCGAGTCAAAAAACAATTTCGCCTCATTATCATTTCAACATATTGTATGCCCAAGTGTTTCAAATTGTTCAAAGAGAGTAGGGAAACTCGAAACTGAGCGCACTGGAAGCCCAAAGGAGACACGGGCAGGCAGAGGAGTTTGCCTCCTGATGAAGAAGTTTTCCCTTTACGTCCTTGTCGAGGTTGTTGTTCCTGCACAGCCACAGCTCCTGTCCCAGCCCCCTTTTGGATGTCGGATGTTGCCGGATGATACTGGTGGCTGGTAGATGTAGGTGCTGCCTGAAATCACTATGCTCATAAATGGGCCATGAATAAATTAACTCGCTGAAAAGCGGCAGCGAAAGCCAAAGCTAAACTAAAAGCCCAGGCAAAACAAAAAGACAAGCGACAAGGGCGGCCGGGTAGAGAGAGCCTTAGATTTCAAACGAATGATAATAATAATTGAGGCAGCGACCCAAGTACATTGGTTAGATAATAACACCGTACACATGTACATGCAAATGGGCTCTGCGTATGCGTGGGCACTGTGCGAAAATTGCTATGCCATTTGATATTTAAATGTTAGTTAAGAGGAATATTCTTGAATAATTTAAGTACTATAAATAGTGTACCGATTAACGTGGGTAGGAAAGAATAGTGATGAGTACTGAGGTAAGGGAAACTTAGTCTTCAATTAAACCTGAACTCCTTCTTCATCCTTAGCCTTATTTGGTGTTGCTAATAGAAAAGTAAAGCTTGTAAACAAATAGATATTGATTGTGTTGTAGTTAAAATTCCCTTATTCATTGATTTCAGACGAAGCCAAGCAACCGCTTTGTTGCTAGACAACAATCGAAATTCCCCGAAACAAACTGGGCTCGCCTTAGCTTTATCGATACTCTGACTCTCTGACCCCGGCAGACGTACCTGACCCCCAGGAGCAACCATGTCTATATATCGGCGTGCCTCCATGACCGCCCGGCAGCGGCAAACGCGGGCCGGTCGGATGACCCGGTACTCGATCTTCACGATGAAGCGACCCTTCACCTTCCAGGTGCGCAAGTCCCTGGTGGAGTATGTGGACATCGAGTTAGCAGATATGGATACATCGGTGTTCTACCAGCGTATCTTTATCCTGGCCAAGAACGCCCATTTAACGCCGGAGGAGACAGAGCCAGAGGTGGAACCAGAACCCGTTCAGGCCGACCAGTCAGAGGGCGTTTCAACAGTTCATCCAACGCTCGAGTTCAAGGAGGATATGATCATACCCATGGACGATGTTTCGCTCAGCCAGGAAGAGGCTGAGGAGGAGGCAAGTGTGGAAGTTCCGTCAGAGATGGCTAGAACCTCTGCTGACCCAGATCAGGAAGTTTTAACCCACACGTTTCGATTCAGTGGGTTTGAAACTGCCGAGGAGGAGTTCATCGGCGATGAAGATGATAGAATGACTGTAGTATCCACAGAAGTCAAGCCGAAGGACTTCTTCGACGTCTTTAGTGATGTTCTAAAGCAATTGCATAAGCAGTGCAAGGAGGTGGCCATCACACCGGATCCCATGTGCGGCCTGTATATGTATATGGGCGACTACAGCCTCCTGATGCTGGAGAGCTCCGAGGATATGATAGGTTGCTTCACCAAGGCTTTGCTCGAGTGCTGCGATACCTACTGGGTGACAAATCGTGTCTTCCAGATCGAGGATCATATTACGGAGCTGTATACCAACGAGCTCATCTTTCGCCGCATGCCGGCCGTCTTTCTCAACGAGAAGTTTCCCACCTCAACGCCCACAGACGAGTACCTGATGGGTAAGCAGCATCTGATTATCAAGGACAAGCTCCACACCATTTGCCGCATGCTCTTGGAGCAGGTCGATCAGGGGGATCAATCGGAAATGGACGGAGACTCCACACGCGAGAGTCTGGATGATGAGGAAGATTTTGAACAGACGAAAAGTAAGACAAAGTCATTGTTAATCGATCAGGTGCCGATTGATTTATACCGTAAGCATTTACCCGAGATCCAGCGGATCGAACTGGTGCTAGCTTCCACGAGATTCTACTATGAACTGGATGACTTTGCCAAGCTCTATGGCCAGGTACCCTTTGCCCGGGACGAGGAGGGTCACTTCTGGCCCATACAAAACAATTACACACCGCCTCATATCTTCCGGCGCACACCGTATGACATTAACCTTACCTTTGCGGACTATGCCTCGGCTGCCACTAGGAAAAGGACATTGAGCTTGGTGTCGGAAAATTCTGGAGGAGAAGATGGCGCCGAGGAGGAGGGAGCGGCCAAGGACGACGGAGCGGCAAAGGGTGAGGGAGCGGCCGCGGAGGAGGCACCTCCGAAAGGCGATTGAGTAACTCTACGAATATCTTGTTTCATTTCAATTTGTATTTTTTTTTTGATCATAAAGCATTATGTGAGAAGGAACTAAATATTTTTGGTGGAGAGATTTCCTCTTTAAAGTGTTTTAAAATGTACTAAGTTTTCCGTATACCTTTTTTCTGAGTGTCTCTCGAAACATCACCATATCAAGCTGAGGCAGTTGACGCTGTTATCTGTGAAACTCGCGCGTTCGGTTACAATGTTTTCGGCTTTGTGCACATGACTGCATCTCATCTCATCCGGGGGGCAGGTGGATGTACACGATGCGGCGGTGGTGGCGGTGGCGGTGGCGCTTATTCGAGGGTTGTCTTGTTTTGGCTTGCCACTTGAATGGCTCGACTTTGTTAACATAAACATAAATTCGCGTGTGTGAGTGCGCACATGTGTGGGCTGCCTCAATGGTTTGCCTTTTAACATAAACCGCATCAGACGCCAGCTGTCAGTTGTAATACTCGGAGAGCTCGGTGCTGGGAGCTGCTAACCAGTAGCTGGTAGAATCTTTGAGAGCTCTGTGCTCTGTGCTCTGTGCTCTGTGCTCTGAGCTCCATGCTTGCAGCTGTCAAAAGCCGCGCTGCCATTTAAAGTCACTTGACAGTGGGCCAAAAGAAACACAACACAGCTTAGTGGGTATTTCGTGGGTTGAGCTCTATGGGATGAGGCCAAGCATGATGGGGTTAAGCAGAGGTTTGCTTGAGAAATTTGCCCCATAAACTTGAATTCGAAGAGTTATTAATCAAAGAGTTAAATTGAGCAGAGTGTTTTACAAATCAAGCACATGTTCGTACATTTTAGGACCATTACTCGACAATAAATTAAGTTTCGAAATACTGTTTAACTTACTTAAATCTAATAAAATCCTTGCAGCTGCCCTCGCCTAAGCCCAACGCCTTTTGGCTTAAAAAAAAGAACGACGTAAGTCGAGAACATGTTTAGAAATTGAGCTGAAAAAGTTAATTAAACTTTGGGCGAGAAGGCTGTCAGCCAAAAGCCACTCGACGATTCTGCGGCAGAGCAGACCTACGGAGGTATGGCTGACGACATGCAATGACAAGGACACAATTCAATCAAGCGCGCCACAGAAGCAGCAGAGTGTCGGCGCATAAACAAGGACATTGCCCTCCTGGGTGCCTGCTGCAGGTCACCATTCGCCCAGCTACCCGGGAAAAGCCAAACATTTGCCGCTGCAGTTTTCATAAACTGCCAGACAACAGCAGCGGCATCAGCGGCATCTGGAAAAAAAAGAGAAAACAACCGCACCAAGGTTGGACAAGACAATGGCGATAAGCCATGGCTGCAGTGGCTCCTACTCCTGCTCCTGCTCCTGCTACCGTTCTCCATGATGTTCTAAAACCCGGTTACGTGTGGCCCACAACTTGAGGCGCAAACTCATAAATTACACAGTCGAGAGAGAGTGAGGCAACGAAAAAAAAAAAAAGAAAATAGGAGGCCAAAATGACTTTTGGCTGCTGTTGCTGCTTTTGGCCATCAAAAGTGAAACTGTTTGCTGCAGTCGCTTAAGGGGCGTTTGGGCGTGGCCTTAGCCTCCGGATTGCTCTTGGTCTGGTCTGGTTGGGTCCTGGTCTGGTCCAGGGCGCCAAAGACCAGGCAAAATTTAAGGCAAACTCAATTTGGCCATACCCTTGCCAAGAATGCTATAAATGCCGAGGTATCCTGAAACTTCAAGGCACATGACGTGCAGATTTCAACCATTATGGTTGGAAAGTAGCAACAATCTTGGCTTTTTAAAGCCAAAACTTTAGTAAGGAACTCAAGTCAAGTAACTTCCTTAAAGAAATGGTGAAAAGATTATAGTATTGATTAGGCCCACATCCAAACAAAAGTCTATTATGCCCGGAAATTGTATTTCATTATGGATATTTACTATGTTTACAAAATTAAACTTGCACAGTTCGATTCTCTTACAAGACAAACTACATTTATGGGCCATAAAGGCAGATAAATATAAGTAAAAGAAAACCAATTACTTAAAGTTTTCCTTGTTTTCCAGCAAATATTAATTCCATCGGAATGTAATTGCTTTGATGTCTATCGATATTTACAATGGCCTCAATATCAATTTAAATGTAAAGTAGACAAAGGATAATGCCATTTTCCCTCATATTAATTCGGCTTTTCCAGACTTCAGCTTGAATATTTTGTCCTTTTTAAATTCAAACTCAATCCCAGTTTAAAACTCAATTAAAGAGCATCGAGAGATTCGGTTCAGTAAACTCAAGTTTGAGTTTCTCGTTTCCTTGTAATGTTTTTAAAGCAGACAATAGAGGCTGGGAAAATAGAGAGTGCAAACTAACTAAAATATATATTATGTGTCTTTTGTATACTGTATATAGAAAAACGAAAACAATTTTGCGGCGCGATAAACGAATTTTCCTCCCGACTTTTGTTTTTCCTTGCTCCTAGTGGTTGGTGGCTCCACTTTTTCCGAAAGGATTTTTGGCAGCAAATGGCAAGGCACTAGGATAACATGGCAACATTTCCCAGATTTCGCAGGCAACAGCAGAGGGGCTGGCCTAAAACGCGGAGGCAGTGGCTCTGACAGGAGTCCAGATTGCATTTTCCCCAGACACGATTGCCAACTAACTGCCGGGAAAAAGAACGCTTCAAAGGCTCCAGCAGGAGGAGGGATAAGATTTGATCTGAGAGAAAACTGCAATTAGTCAAATGAGCAGGACGTGAACCATATTTCATCCAGGATAACAGACAACTTTTGACTTATAACGCCCCAAAAGTCAACAAAAGAATTGGTGGGGGGGTGGCACATACAGACAAAAACACACAAAGACCTAAAACTTTGCCACAATTTATGCTAACCAAAAACTTATTGACTGCGTGGGCTTTGCTCCTCGATTTCACATTCATCATACGCCTAGTTGTGCGAGCTTTAAATCAAATTAAATGCCTAGAGTTTAATTCCCAAAACAATCCAAAACTTTGGCCATAAAAAAATAGAAGCCCCGCATGTCCCTGTAAACCGCATTAAAAAAAACGACGACAGCGGGAAATATGAAAGAAATTAAAAATAATAGCGCACATAAAACCGCAAGCTGCGCCTGCCCCCCGGGGAAGGGCGGGAAATTAAGCGTGAAAAAATCAGTGAAAATGCCTGGAAAATAGAGCGAAGCCGACTGGATGGCGGGTTGATGTGGGACATGACTGGATGACAGCTTCGTCTGGCCTTGGTGGTTTCCCGGTTTTAGTCGGGAAATCCAATCATTTCCCTTGCCATTCAGGCGCGTTTAATTTCGGCCATTAAGGATATCTCCTTCTTGGCATGTTTACATGCGCCACCAAGTGGTGTGAGTGTGTGTGGAGTGTGTGTGTGTTTGCCTAATAAATACACACATGTATATGTATGCATGTGTGTGCCTATTCGCGCTTTTGTTTATCTTGAATTTGTCTGTCGCCATTTTATTTTTACACTTTTTCCCGCACACATATTTATTATCATGTCGGTTTTGGTTTGCGTTTCCATTTCCATTTCCGTTTCCGTTTCCCCTTCCAGTGGCACTGCTCCTCTGCTGTTCTCGCGCCCTAATGAAAACCTCCAACTGTCCCTTTTTTTGTGCGGGTTTTCGGCATGGCATGGAAAATGTTTATTATGTGATTATGCCCGACTTTAGCGCCCGTAGCTGCCGGGAGAGGTCTATCCCAGGAATTCCTGGTCTGCCCTGTCCTGTCTCGTCCTTTTTTCTCCATTTTCCGCCTTCTTCCAGCAGCAGCTGCCCTTTCCTGGATTTTCCCTACTGCTGACTGTTGACCGGCGGCAGGATTTGGCCTTTTGCCTGAAATTTGTTTGTTGTTTTTGTTACGGCTTCCATTTGTCGGATCTTTTCTTTTGGTTGCTGTTGTTGCTCTTCGTTCGGTTTAAAGCTTTGTCATCCCTTATGGCACTGGATGTCTTTGACTCGGAATCCTGCGTGGGTGATTGTTGTGTTGCCGTTGCCGTTGTCGTTTTAAATTACATTGTTACAAGTGTTTCGTAGTCCTCTGTCATTTTTGTTGTTGAGATACTCAGAAAAAAACATTTGCTAAGGAAATATTTATTTTATTCTAAAACAAAAAAGGATACTAACTCCCAGAAGCCAAAGTTATAGGATCTATGGAAATCATAACTAAATCTTAAATATTTGTGTTCTATTAACGATATTTATCGGTGTTTTTCTATACAAATTTGTTGAACAAATCAAAGTTTAAAAAATACATAACTAAGCCAAAAATCCATTAATTTCACTTCGGAAAACTTTCCCTTGCTAGTTTTTAATAGGTTTACAAATCTGCATACTCCATTTAAAATACTAAAAAAAATCAAATTTTTATAAATTTCTGGCCATTTTAACAAAATTAAAATTTGAAAAAAATGTCCAAAATTTTTTTTCCTTACCTTCATGCCTAGAAAGATTCGCCTGTTGATGCTGATCAAGAATATATATGGATTATAGGGTTGGGAATGACTCCTCCCAGAGCTATAAGCTTTTGACTAAAAGTATAATGCCATATATTTAGTACATATTTATCTAAATTTTTATAGCAAAATTTTTCCAGAAATCAAAGTTAAAAAAACTCATAACTACGTCAAAAAGGAACTAATTTCACTTCGGAAAGCTTTTCCGTGCTAGTTTTTAAAAGGTTTATAAACCTGCATATTCAAATTTAAAATTTAAAAAAATTAAAATTTTGTCAATTTTTGAAAATATGAACAATTAAATTTTAGCCCAATAAAATGTTGAAAAAATTTTGCAAATTTTTTTTCTTCCAAATATAACTAGATCGGCTCGGCTGTTTATGCTGATCAAGAATATATATGATTTATAGGGTCGGAAATGACTTCTTCACTGGGAAATAACCTTCTGACTAAAATTATAATAATTTTTAAGATGTAAAATACTTAATCTTAAATTTGAATAATACAAGTTTTTCTAAACCGAAAAAAAAATATTATTTCTGGTCTAAAGTGCTCCCCGTTTTTCCCTGTGCACTGTCTTTCCAC